TCTAGCCAGCTATCTAAACTTGTAGTCATCATGGCCGAATACCAACCTGGCACACAGGGTATGTGCCCATGGGCCTGACCTCCAGGCAGCCCCCATTGATTTTGGCAGTCATTTTGGCAGTCATTCTCACTCAGATATCGTATTAACATGGCATAGTTATTACAAAAAACCCAGCACCCAATCAGTCATTCTCAGTGATTTGGGAGATAGTGGAGGAGTTGAGGAGATTGCTGTGTGAATTGCTGAGGGTATCCCTCCAAAACCAACCACAAACCTCACTTATTCGTTTCCCCAGCGATCCCAGCACCCGAACATCCCTGGGTGTGTCCCAAATGGCATCCTATTCCATATATAGTGCACTACTATGGGCCCTGATCAAAAGTAGTGCACTACAGTGCCTTCGGAAAGTATTCAGACCCCTTGACTTTTTCCACATTTTGTTACGTTACAGCCTTATTCTAAAATTGATTAAATATACAAAAATCCTCAGCAATCTACACACAATGCCCCATAATGAAAAAGGGAAAATAGTTTTGTTTTAATTTTAGCAAATGCATCAAACATAATAAACAGAAATACCTTATTTACATAAGTATTAAGACCCTTTGCTATGAGACTCAAAATGTAGCTCTGGTGTATCCTATTTCCATTGATCATCCTTGAGATGTTTCTACAACTTGATTGGAGTCCACCTGTTGTAAATTTAAATTGATTGGACATGATTCCGAAAGGCACACACCTGTCTATATTAGGTCCCACAGTTGACAGTGCGTGTCAGAGCAAAAACCAAGCCATGAGGTCGAAGGAATTGTTCGTAGAGCTCCGAGAGGATTGTGTTGAGGCACAGATCTAGGGAAGGGTACCAACAAATGTCTGCAGCATTGAAGGTCACCAAGAACACAGTGGCCTCCATCATTCTTAAATGGAAGACGTTTGGAACCACCAAGACACTTCCTAGAGCTGGCCGCCCGGCCAAACTGAGCAATCGGGGGAGAACGGCCTTGGTCAGGGAGGTGACCAAGAACCCGATGGTCACGCTGACAGAGCTCTAGAGTTCCTCTGTGGAGATGGGAGAAACTTCCAGAAGGACAACCATCTCTGCAGCACTCCACCAATCAGGCCTTTATGGTAGAGTGGCCAGAAGGAAGCCACTCCTCAGTAAAAGGCACATGACAGCCCACTTGGAGTTTGCCAAAAAGGCACCTAAAGACTGAGACATGAGAAACAAGATTCTCTGATCTGATGAAACCAAGATTGAACTCTTTGGCCTGAATGCCAAGCGTCACGTCTGGAGGAAACCTAGCACCATCCCTACAGTGAAGCATGGTAGTGGCAGCATCATGCTGTGGGGATGTTTTTCAGCGGCAGAGACTGGGAGACTAGTCAGGATCAAGGGAAAGATGAACGGAGCAAAGTACAGAGAGAGCCTTGATGAAAACCTGCTCCAGAGCGCTCAGGACCTCAGACTGGGGCGAAGGTTCACCTTCCAACAAGACAACCACCCTAAGCACACAGCCAAGACAACGCAGGAGTGGCTTCAGGACAAGTGTCTGAATGTCCTTGAGTGGCCCAGCAAGAGCCCGGACTTGACCCCGATCGAACATCTCTGGAGAGACCTGAAAATAGCTGTGCAGCAACACTCCCCATCCAACCTGACAGAGCTTGAGAGGATCTGCAGAGAAGAATGGGAGAAACTCCCCAAATACATGTGTGCCAAGCTTACCCAAGAAGTCTCAATGCTGTAATCGCTGTCAAAGGTGTGTCGTGGAAATTCCAAATGTTGTGGAAATTATTTTACACAGGGACACTCAAAGTCAATCTTAAATTTATCATAGTTTATTTGTCAGCACGCTGGCGAGGTTCCAACCAACTCAATGCACCATAGTACACATATCAGTCAGAAGATCTGCTGGGGCAATCCCAGCAGTTGTCTTATATATGGCTATACACAGACAAGTTATATTTGCATGATTTAGCATAATTAATTCATCATTAGCGTTTTGTTTCATTCATGTGACCGACCAATACTGGTTCATAACATGTGACAGACCAATACCTCACGAGGCTTCTTCTCTCTAAGCTGAGACCTTGAAACCGAGATATCTTTCTCCTCACGTTCTCAAATCAAGGTCTGGGCGTACTGCCAAATTGCAGATACTGATAAGTGAGGATTCGTCCAATCAGTCACTTGCATGAACACAGAAATTGGTTATTAGAACAGCACATGAATAGAACATAGAAATGTATAGAATAGAAAACACCAACATTAACATTTCCATCACAGGTGCTTCAACAAAGTACTGAGTAAAGAGTCTGAATACTTATGTAAATGTGATATTTCAGGGTTTTTTTGTAATACATTTGCAAAAATTTCGAAAAAACCTATTTTTGCTTTGTGATTATGGGGTATTGTGTGTAGATTGATGAGGGAAAAAAAAGTTTTTATAAATTTTAGAATAAGGCTGTAACTTAACAAAATGTGGAAAAAGTAAAGGGGTCTGAATACTTTCCGAGGGGAGTAGGGTGCCATTTGGGACACAGCCCCAGTCATTACAGTGGAGAGGATATCAAATCAAATTTTATTTGTCACATGCGCCGAATACAACCTTACCATTAAATGTTTACTTACAAGCCCTTAACCAACAATGCAGGTCAAGAAATGTAGTTAAGAAAATATTTACTAAATAAACTACAGTAAAAAATAAATTACAAAGTAACACAATAAAATAACAATAACGAGGCTATATACATTTACATTTACGTCATTTAGCAGACGCTCTTATCCAGAGCGACTTACAGTTAGTGAGTGCATACATTATTTTTCATACTGGTCCCCCCGTGGGAATCGAACCCACAACCCTGGCGTTGCAAACGCCATGCTCTACCAACTGAGCTACATCCCTGCCGGCCATTCCCTCCCCTACCCTGGACGACGCTGGGCCAATTGTGCGCTGCCCCATGGGTCTCCCGGTCGCGGCTGGCTACGACAGAGCCTGGATTCGAACCAGGATCTCTAGTGGCACAGACCACTGCGCCACCAGGAAATACAAATATACAAGGGGTACAGGTACCGAGTCGATGTGCGGGGGTACAAGTTAGTCGAGGTAATTTGTACATGTAGGTAGGGATAAGTGTGACTATGCATAGGTAATAAACAGCGAGTAGCAGCAGTGTAAATACAAAGTGGGGGGTGTCATTGTAAATAGTCCAGGTGGCCATTTGATTAATCGTTCGGCGGTCTTATGGCTTGGGGGTAGAAGCTGTTAAGGAGCCGTTTAGACCTAGACTTGGTGCTCCGGTACCGCATGCCGTGCAGTAGCAGAGAGAACAGTCTGACTAACAGATCCTGTAAGAGAATAGGAGGTAAACACTGAGGACATTAGCTAGTGTTCATGATCAAGGGCCAATCTGTGGTGGCTCCAGTTCTGGGGAGTTTGTCCGCTTTCAGAAGATCCTCTGAATCATTCCTGTGGTGGTGTAAAAAGGTTTTCAAAGAGACACTGTTTAACTCTCCACACCACACAATGCATCTGACTATGCTTTGGAGGGACAATTTGTTATTCATGGGATACATTTGCTTTTCTTTTTAAAAATATATATTCACCATTTTGTCAAAGGAGTTTGGAGCCCGCTAGAGTTAAATGTGATATGATGTGCCCTATCGATTTCAAAGAGTTTAAGATAAAAGTCCTCTTTGAAGAGGAGTTTTAAGGAAGAGGATAAATGGCCATACTGAAATGGTTCACCACTGTTTTATGCATTGCACTCAACAACAACCTCTATTGCATTTTTAAGCCCATATTATTTAAATGGGGGAAACATGAGAGGACAGGCAAGGTAATTTAAATGCTGGAATCCTCTTCATGGGCATGTGTCCCAAATGGCACCCTATTCACTATATAGTGCACTACTTTTGACCTGGGCCAATAGGGCTCTGGTCAAAAGTAATGCATTATGTAGGGAATAGGGTGCCATTAGAGACTGAACCCTTAAAGAGAAGCCCGCTGGTTGTGTACTGTCTTCCTGCCTGTGTGATGGCCGGATGGAAGCCCTCCCTCCCTCCCCCCCTCCCTCCCTCCCTCTCTCGCTCGCTCTCTCGCTCGCTCTCTCTCTCGCTCTCACTCTCGCTCTCGCTCTCTCTCTCGCTCTCTCTACCTCTCTCTCTCTCTCTCTCTCTCTCTCTCTCCCTCTACCATCTCCCTCGCTCTCAACCACTCTCTCTCTCTCTCACTCCCTGTCGATTTCTCTGTCTTTGTTTTGCGGATCTCTCCAGCTTTTCTCTCTGGCAACCCGCTGTGCAATCAGACTGCCTGCTTTCTTCTCTCCCAAAGCCACAGAATACATTGAAATCATATGCTTCTGATCTGCAGGCACCATGGCTGTGTGAGGTTGAATTGAAGATGAGATAATAACATGAGAGATTTAGCTTGAAAGAGCCATTCCTTCTCAGGTTTGCCATTCTTTTTGCCATTCCTTCTCATTTTGAGATTTATTTAAGATGTTTTCATATATGGGAAATAGTGGGGGGTCACATAATAACAACTTGTTTTATTTACACAAGATTCCGCTATACTAAAGATTGACTAAATACAGTATAATATATGATTTACTTATACAAATACAGATTTATCTAGATGTCTAAGTTACTTAACTGTTATCTATGTATTGCAAAGGATTCTAGAAATGCTGGTATAGAGCAACTGCTTAAAAGGGGCAATCTGTGATTGGTACATTCATTTTTGGACCTTTAAATTAATGATATAGCCATTTATTTGTGAATAATGTAACTTATAAATGCCTCATGAGCTTAGTTCAACTCTTACCCCAAAATAACCCCAAATATAAGCTTGTTTGGCTGCTGTGTTGTTGTTTGAATCCCAGATTGCCCCTTTAAGTATTTTCATAAAAGTCAATAGAAGTGTTATGCATTAGCCCTCACGGTCACCATGATCCATAGTAAACCACTCTCGCCATAATAAGAGTTCTGAGTTTTAGACATGTTAGATGGTGAAGGTGCTGGTGTCCTCGTCCTCCGAGACAGAGTGTGAGTGTGTTTGCCTGGCTGGGGTATGTGTATTTAGCGAGATCTCCAATGTCCGCTCCTCGTTGCCATGGCGACCAACACACCACCTCCCCCCGAGGCGCTGTCCGAGGCACTTAGTGACCCTGATGACGTGTCCTCTGAAGGAGGAGCCTATAAAGGTGTAGAGTATTGGGTTGAAGCAGCAGTGTGTGAGCGCCAGGCTCTCCGTCACCTGGAGAGCCCGGTCCAGACCCTTACTGAGGTCACAGTCGGTCACCAGGCCGTAGATGACGTCCAGCGTCCGCCACAGCTTCACCAGGTTGTAGGGCAGCTGGGTGAGCAGGAACACCCCCACCACGGCCAGCAGCACCCGGACGGCCCGCCTCCTCCTTTCCCTGCACACCCCGGCTCCGACCCTAACCAGCGCCAGGCCCACCCAACAGTAAGACACCACCATGACCAGGAAGGGCAGCAGGAAGCTCAGCAGCACTTCCAGCAGCTCCAGGGCAGCCTTGGTCAGCCGAGCCATGCTGAGGGGATAGACGGCCATGCAGGCTAGACGATGAGACGTGGGCATCACCGTGGAGAACACCATGTCAGGCAGGCCCAGGCAAACTGCCATGGCCCACACCACGGCACACACTATTATCCACTGTCTCCTGGCCCGCGGGCCACTCGCGGCGAGGCCTCCAGCGTTGTGGGCCAGTGCACGGTAGCGGTCCACGCTAACGCAGGTTAGCAGCAGCATGCCACAGCTGAAGTTGGTGGCATAGAGGAAGGAGGTGAGCTTGCAGGCAGCCACGCCGATCCGCCAGCCGTGCACGGCGTCGGCAGCCCAGAAGGGCAGCGTGAAAAGAAGTAGTAAATCGGCCACGGCAAGATTCAGGATACACACGTCTGTCAGCGTCCGCAGTCGCCGCGGCGACGCATACACCACCACGACCAGAGCGTTGCCTGCCACACCCACCACCAGGGCCAAGGCGTAGACCACGGGCAGGAAGAGACGGCCGAAAGAACGCACCTCCGCTTTGTCGCATACCGAGTGGTAGTCATCGTGGTAGTCACTGTCGTTGGAGCTGGAGTTGTCATAGTCGTAGTCCTCTTCCTCCATCTGTTTTCTGAGAAATAAGGGACTAAAGGAACATGACATGTTAGGAATGACGTCAAGTCAGTTTAGTCTATGCTGCTGCATTGTATTAACTTAAAAGAGATCTGTTGACAAGATCAATTTTTTTGTTATAGACAAGGCTTGCTGGATAAAATGATGATTCTCTTTTCACATATTTTGGACAGAATGTATAAAATAATATGAAATATGTATTTTATCTGAAAACATCTATTAGGAAAGGAGAATGGCCATCCATCTGGAAGTTGTAATGCACTTAAAGCCAATAACAGCATGACGATCCAAGTTGTCAACAACTATAGGTTTTTGTTATCCTTCCCCCCCTCACTGCTTTTTGTCCCTCTTTCTGACCCGTAGGGGTTGTTGGGATGATGTGGGTAGATTTTGTGGCTAATGCTTGACAGGGTGAGGAGTGTGTGTGTGTGTTGGGGAGGACTGGCTCGTGGTAATGGTTGGAGCGGAATTAGTGGAATGGTATCAAATATCATGGAAACCATGTGCTTGATGCCATTTGATTTGCTCCGTTCCAGCCATTATTATGAGCCGTCCTCCTCTCAGCAGCCTCCACTGGTGTGCGTGTGTACGCATACCCGCATACGATAAGACAATAAGCTCCCTTTTGTTAAAAATCTCTCTAGCTTGATTTCTCTCACAAAACCTGTCAGTTGGAATCACTTGCACACAAGTACGCCCCACACAACAACAAAATTCCTTACCCTGTAAAATTCCTTTGACAAGGTGACTATTCATACCCCTTGACTTATTCAAAATGTTGTTGTTACAGCCTGAATAAAAAATGGATTATTATACCCCAAAATGACAATGTGAAAACATGTTTTTAGAAATACAGAAATATCTCACTTACATAAAGTATTCACACCCCTGAGTCAATACATGTTAGGATCACCTTTGGCAGCGATTAATGTCTATCTGGGTAAGTCTCTAAGAGCTTTGCACACCTGTATTGTAAAATATTTTCACATTATTCTTAAAAAGATTATTCAAGCTCTGTCAAGTTGGTTGTTGATCATTGCTAGACAGCCATTTTCAAGTCTTGCCATAGATTTTTTAAAGCCGATTTTAAGTCAAAGCTGTAACTTGCCACCCAGGAACATTCAATGTCGTCTTGATAAGCAACTCCAGTGTATATTTGGCCTTGTGTTTTATGTTATTGTCCTGCTGAATGGTATATTTGTTTCAGGGTGTCTGTTGGAAAGCAGACTGAACCAGGTTTACCTCTAGGATTTTGCCTATGCTTAGCTCTATTCCATTTCTTTTTATCCTAAAGAAACTCCCTGTGCGTGTGTACCCGCATGCGTGCAGACAATAAGCTCCCTCTTGTTAGGAATCTCTCTAGCTTGACTTCTCTCACAAAACCTGTCAGTTGGAGTCACTTGCACCCTAGTACGCCCAACACAACAACAAAATTCCTTACCCTGTAAAATTATTTACCCCTGGACATAGTGACTATCCCAGAAAAATCTGACTAATCTTTAAACTCTCTTTTTAATTTTTTTATTTTTTTAGGGGGTAGATCAGCTTTAATATTGCAGATAGATTGTAACTTCCATCAATGTAATTGTCTGTTGTTGTTTTATTTTCTCGCATATACAGTGGGGAGAACAAGTATTTGATACACTGCCGATTTTGCAGGTTTTCCTACTTACAAAGCATGTAGAGATCTGTAATTTTTATCATAGGTACACTTCAACTGTGAGATACAGAATCCAGAATATTGTATGATTTTTAAGTGATTCATTTGCATTTTATTGCATGACATAAGTATTTGATACATCAGAAAAGCAGAACTTAATATTTGGTACAAAAACCTTTGTTTGCAATTACAGAGATCATACGTTTCCTGTAGGTCTTGACCAGGTTTGCACACACTGCAGCAGGGATTTTGGCCCACTCCTCCATACAGACCTTCTCCAGATCCTTCAGGTTTCGGGGCTGTTACTGGGCAATACAGACTTTCAGCTCCCTCCAAAGATGTTCTATTGGGTTCAGGTCTGGAGACTGGCTAGGCCACTCCAGGACCTTGAGATGCTTCTTACGGAGCCACTCCTTAGTTGCCCTGGCTGTGTGTTTTGGGTCGTTGTCATGCTGTAAGACCCAGCCACGACCCATCTTCAATGCTCTTACTGAGGGAAGGAGGTTGTTGGCCAAGATCTCGCGATACATGGCCCCATCCATCCTCCCCTCAATACGGTGCAGTCGTTCTGTCCCCTTTGCAGAAAAGCATCCCCAAAGAATGATGTTTCCACCTCCATGCTTCACGGTTGGGATGGTGTTCTTGGGGTTGTACTCATCCTTCTTCTTCCTCCAAACATGGCGAGTGGAGTTTAGACCAAAAAGCTCTATTTTTGTCTCATCAGACCACATGACTTTCTCCCATTCCTCCTCTGGATCATCCAGATGGTCATTGGCAAACTTCAGACGGGCCTGGACATGCGCTGGCTTGAGCAGGGGGACCTTGCGTGCGCTGCAGGATTTTAATCCATGACGGCGTAGTGTGTTACTAATGGTTTTCTTTGAGACTGTGGTCCCAGCTCTCTTCAGGTCATTGACCAGGTCCTGCCGTGTAGTTCTGGGCTGATCCCTCACCTTCCTCATGATCATTGATGCCCCATGAGGTGAGATCTTGCATGGAGCCCCAGACCGAAGGTGATTGACCGTCATCTTGAACTTCTTCAATTTCTAATAATTGCGCCAACAGTTGTTGCCTTCTCACCAAGCTGCTTGCCTATTGTCTTGTAGCCCATCCCAGCCGTGTGCAGGTCTACAATTTTATCCCTGATGTCCTTACACAGCTCTCTGGTCTTGGCCATTGTGGAGAGGTTGGAGTCTGTTTGATTGAGTGTGTGGACAGGTGTCTTTTATACAGGTAACGAGTTCAAACAGGTGCAGTTAATACAGGTATTGAGTGGAGAACAGGAGGGCTTCTTGAAGAAAAACTAACAGGTCTGTGAGAGACGGAATTCTTACTGGTTGGTAGGTGATCAAATACTTATGTCATGCAATAAAATGTAAATTAATTACTTAAAAATCATACAATGTGATTTTCTGGATTTTTGTTTTAGATTCTGTCTCTCACAGGTGAAGTGTACCTATGATAAAAATGACAGACCTCTACATGCTTTGTAAGTAGGAAAACCTGCAAAATCGGCAGTGTATCAAATACTTGTTCTCCCCACTGTGTGTGTATATATATATATACATACACATACATTTACAGTGGGGATAAAAAGTATTTAGTCAGCCACCAATTGTGCAAGTTCTCCCACTTAAAAAGATGAGAGAGGCCTGTAATTTTCATCATAGGTACACGTCATCTATGACAGACAAATTGAGAAAAAAAATCCAGAAAATCACATTGTAGGATTTTTTATGAATTTATTTGCAAATTATGGTGGAAAATAAGTATTTGGTCACCTACAAACAAGCAAGATTTCTGGCTCTCACAGACCTGTAACTTCTTCTTTAAGAGGCTCCTCTGTCCTCCACTCGTTACCTGTATTAATGGCACCTGTTTGAACTTGTTATCAGTATAAAAGACACCTGTCCACAACCTCAAACAGTCACACTCCAAACTCCACTATGGCCAAGACCAAAGAGCTGTCAAAGGACACCAGAAACAAAATTGTAGACCTGCACCAGGCTGGGAAGACTGAATCTGCAATAGGTAAGCAGCTTGGTTTGAAGAAATCAACTGTGGGAGCAATTATTAGGAAATGGAAGACATACAAGACCACTGATAATCTCCCTCGATCTGGGGATCCACGCAAGATCTCACCCCGTGGGGTCAAAATGATCACAAGAATGGTGAGCAAAAATCCCAGAACCACACGGGGGGACCTAGTGAATGACCTGCAGAGAGCTGGGACCAAAGTAGCAAAGCCTACCATCAGTAACACACTACGCCGCCAGGGACTCAAATCCTGCAGTGCCAGACGTGTCCCCCTGCTTAAGCCAGTACATGTCCAGGCCCGTCTGAAGTTTGCTAGAGTGCATTTGGATGATCCAGAAGAGGATTGGGAGAATGTCATATGGTCAGATGAAACCAAAATAGAACTTTTTGGTAAAAACTCAACTGGTCGTGTTTGGAGGACAAAGAATGCTGAGTTGCATCCAAAGAACACCATACCTACTGTGAAGCATGGGGGTGGAAACATCATGCTTTGGGGCTGATTTTCTGCAAAGGGACCAGGACGACTGATCCGTGTAAAGGAAAGAATGAATGGGGCCATGTATCGTGAGATTTTGAGTGAAAACCTCCTTCCATCAGCAAGGGCATTGAAGATAAAACGTGGCTGGGTCTTTCAGCACGACAATGATCCCAAACACACCGCCCGGGCAACGAAGGAGTGGCTTCGTAAGAAGCATTTCAAGGTCCTGGAGTGGCCTAGCCAGTCTCCAGATCTCAACCCCATAGAAAATATTTGGAGGGAGTTGAAAGTCTGTGTTGCCCAGCGACAGCCCCAAAACATCACTGCTCTAGAGGAGATCTGCATGGAGGAATGGGCCAAAATACCAGCAACAGTGTGTGAAAACCTTGTGAAGACTTACAGAAAACGTTTGACCTGTGTCATTGCCAACAAAGGGTATATAACAAAGTATTGAGAAACTTTTGTTATTGACCAAATACTTATTTTCCACCATAATTTGCAAATAAATTCATTAAAAATCCTACAATGTGATTTTCTGGAAAAAAAATTCTCAATTTGTCTGTCATAGTTGACGTGTACCTATGATGAAAATTACAGGCCTCTCTCATCTTTTTAAGTGGGAGAACTTGCACAATTGGTGGCTGACTAAATACTTTTTTTCCCCACTGTACATGTGATCTAAATAGCAAATGGGGGACGCTTTTCCCATGGTTCATTTTCATGCCAGCCAGGTAGGCTGTACTCCTGCTGTAAAGCAAAGCAATATGCTTAATATTAGGAAAGTAGAGAAATAAATATAGTAGGCCTAGCCTATAG